GGGGGAAACCGCCAGGTGTTAACTTAAGGGTAAGTCGACCTTAAACATTCTTGGAGAGGGCAATTCCTCTAGTGCAGTTAGAGGCAGTTTCATGCTTCCAGCCATGGAACTGCGACATCCAAACTTTCCCCATTATCTCTGCCCCCGTTGCGCAAAAGCCTGAGTATGTGCCGACACCAAGCAGAACCAGATCTTGGGTATGAGGATAGAATAATGTCGTCAGATCGTAATTCAAATACTTTTAGTTCCTCCCAACTTTTAATAGTAAGACTTGGAATTGGCACGCCTTCAGTGAGATTAAGAAAAGGAATACTGCACATTGCTCGCTACTTTTAGTGTACAGCGGCGAGAGTGACGAGGTATTACAAGTAGCTAGCTAAGTACGTGTAATTATACTCACCCCCGGCGTGAAGAAGACGACTGACCTCAAGGGCCTGCTGCGCAGTTTGGCGTTTCTCTCCTTCCCACGCACTGGCTACACGCGCGGCAACGGTCGAAGTAGGTGAGATTGCACTACTAAACCTGGTCTTTTGCTCCGGCTTGCACCAGTCGGACAAACAAGGAACCTCAATCAAGCCTGTGCCCACAGGGCGGCGATCACATGATTATACCTGGACTCCCGGATCCCCTGCGCAGCCGGCCGCGCGCCGACTCCTGGTATATAGTCGGCCCCCGGTGTTTTTTATCCTTTATTCGGGGGATTATTCTATCCGTGAGGATAGTAGTGTGTGTAATATCCGGGGTCCGGATATTATATCCCTCTAATAGAAAACGGTTGCGCATCTAAACGCGCAGGAAAATGTTGGCGCCGTCGCTGCTCGCTGTTTCCGCACTGTAATCTCATATATATGCCGAGTTGAGTCTCCTTCTCGTCGAGACACTCAGCAGTTGCGCGGGTCGCGGCCGCATCCAGCCCTTCAAAGAAACAGTTTATTGAAAAGCACTGAAGTGCAAACCCTCGGCGAACTGCGCTTGCGCGATACCGCTACTTGATGGGCTGGGCTTAACTCGTGGTCTTCCGCGAGTCTGACACAGGCTAGCTACGGTAGTAGATAGCATGCGGGAGTCAATACACGCCCTAGGTTGAGACTTTTTGAGCCTTCAAGGTACGCAGAGCAAGCACATCTTGTGGAGGTAAGCCTGTGCTAATTTGCACATTGGCTTGTTCACTTGGTTTTCACGCCATAACTTTTGAACGCGGTTTTTTACGAAAATCGCCAGTTTAAAAATTAAGCAATGTAGCGCCGAACCCCGTTGGCGTATATAGACTTTTGGCGATCTTGTTGCGCCTAGTTGCAGAAAACATGAACGGACACAGACACACCGACCAAGTACCATAACCATCGCTGCGCATGCGCGCCGAGGGTTAATAATAATTGGCGAGCGGGAGCGAGCCAGCCAACCTAGTCGCTCGTTCGCGGATTTTCTATTATGTGACGGAGGGCACCACCACTGTACCGAAAGGTAATACGCGAAACGGAATGAGGAATGACATTTCGCAATCGTCTGTATTATAACCGAGCTTAGTCACGCTTAGGAATGTCAATTTCCGCTGTGCGCGCAGATTCGTAGGAAGTCTGGCTTCGCCCGCAGTCAGTAGAGCGCGCGCACGAGCGGCCTCAGTCGGACTGTATAGCGCATTGGCTGGCAGGCGCGAGGCAAAATATGCGCGTGCCCATTCCTAGTTATACGCTTACACACGCCGCGTGGTTGGCCAGGCCGATTGATCGCTGCTTTAGCCTATATACTGCCATGCTAGCTGCCTGGTGGACCACGTCAGACGAGTTGAGAGCGTAAGGTAAGTACCGTTCTGCTCACCTGCTCACCGTTCTGGCAATATACAGTACGCATGTAACGGCGGTAGCTCTGTCTTGCTTCACGAAAGGAAAGCTGTATATACGCTGACGGCACGTTATGCTACGGAAGCCCGATCGCGGGCAAATCCCAAGTTGGGTCACTCCCGCTCGCCAACAATATTCAACATTCTTCTAGTTCTAGTATATAGCTAAGTCTCATACTTCCACAGTCCGCTGGTGTAACTCCAAACAACGCTGTCATCGCATTCTGTAACGTTAAAACCCCCCTCAATAGAGCACAGAACCTCAAAACAACACACCGCCTGCGTTTCGACACTCCTAATAACGCACAGCACGGGGTATTAAGTATCCCGACTGCGATAGAATATCCTAGGAAGTTTTATCAGGGAGATAGAATATCATTATCCTATAATCCGGCCGGATAAAAAGTCGGGGGGGTACTGCTCTATGCGATGAGGGTGAATTTGTTACCTACACGCATGCGCAGGCCTGACGGACGGAGCTATCTTCGCGCGTAGGCTGCACCAAGCACGCTGCACACATGGCATTTACTTCTTCACTCCTCAAACTTGCTAACGGCAGCACACATGGAGATGAAAATTGGTAGCTACACATGCGTATTACATTATTTTCATGACGAGCACAGGCATTTCCTCTATTATTGCCGAGCGCGTTAGCGTGAGGCAACTACTCCGGGTTGTATTCGCGCGATATGCGTACGTTCGTGTCGGTCACGCTTAAGAATGTCGATTAGTCACGCTTAGGAATTCAATTAGTCACGCTTAGGAATGTCCATTTCCGCCCTGAGCGCAGATTCGTAGGAAGTCTGGCTTCGCGCGCAGTCAGTAGAGCGCGCGCACGAGCGGCCTCAGTCGGACTGTTTACGCATTTGGCTGGCAGGCGCGAGGCAAAATATGCGCGTGCGCATTTCTAGTTAATTTTTACAGGGGTTCGCCCCCTTTCACAGAGATATACGTAGTAGTAGTGGAGACAAGTAATTTAAAAATCCAAAATGGAGGCATATAGGGATGGTATAAAAACGATCGGGATGGGATACATCAGCATAATAATTATTGTTGCCTAGGTGAAGTATTAAATATTCACCATTGCAATACTCAGAACTTATAATACAAAAGAGTCATGCTACTGAGTAACCAACACCTTTATTGAGTCCAAGTGGAGTTTAATTAAAGGGAATGTGGCAGTATGAAAGTGGAAATGTTACTAAAAACAACAGGGCATGGTGAAAGAATGCTTGCTTTTAGTAACCTTCAGCCCCTATAAGAGTAGCACACCAGGCAACAATATAGGGATTGTGTGATGGGGTTGGGGGTGTCAGCATACTCAAATATGTTCATTAACCATGCTTCATGTATCCCATCCCTATCTTGTCTCCCTTTCTTTTTATACCATCCCTATATGCCTCTTTATTTAATTCTGCAGGATTATTAACTTACTTGTTTTATCAGGGTTCACAAACTTGTCACCCCTGTAGTAGGGATATCCCAAATTTGTGAACCCTGACTTCCAAAGTTGCTTTTCTGAATTCTGCTTTTACCTTATTTTCTTGGATTATTTAGAGGAAAAGTACTGATATTTATAATGATTTTGGAAACAGAACTTTAAAGTTTGTAAGCGTGGGCATGGATGGTTTTTCCAGTTATAACATTGTGCACACGTATTTATTCATGACAAAATTCCAGTCCAATCGTTTCTTCAAACTGTGTGCGCAGCGAGGGTACTGTAGTTGGGTTTGTCTGCGCGTGTGTGTGTGTCTCTTACTCTACACCTCACCTCTCGGATGTCTGTTCGTCTCACAAAACGATGCGATGTACTCAACGGGCAATGAAGGTCAGAAATTATGAGCGGTTTTCTCTGAAAAATGCTCCGTTGCAGAGCTACAGCCCTCCAGCATTGTAAGTAGTCGGCCATTTTTATCGCTGCGGAAAATGCGCATGCGGTTATAATGCTAATTAGAACAAACTTATATACCCCGCTTGCTCTGTGTATCTTGAAGGCATAAGAAGTCACAACGAAGAGCATGTATCGACTCCCGCATGCTATTTACTACAGTAGCTAGTCTCCGCGAGCTACTAGCGTGGATACCACGAGTAAACGCATACTAAAAGCCCAGCCCATTAATTAGTGGTACCGCGCGTGCGCTGTTCGCCGAGGGTTTACACTTTCATTACCCTCGGCGCGCATGCGCAGCGAGGGTATGTAGTTGGGTTTGTCTGTCTGTCTGTGTGTCTGTTACTCTCAATCTCACTTCTCGAATGTCTGTTCGTCTCACAAAGGATACGACTACTATAAAAGAAAGGAAAAAAACGAAACAAAAACAAAAACACTACATATCAGAGGGAACATGTCCCTCTGCAGCGGCAAGTTCAATGTTGAGCTCACTGACTGGGCGGTGGCGAGAGGATCTACTTCCTCGAATGCAGAGGATAGCAGATCGGAGTATAGCGAATGATAGGCGGCAGCGAATCTAACACCCATGACTAGAGAGTATTGCTTGTCCTGCTTCCGGGACAACTCATCAGTATAGCTCTAGTCTCGTGCCCTTACGACCCCGCCCCCCTCTAGCTCTCGCTCGCGCGCTCTACTATATTATATCACGTGATTTAACACTGGGACAACGCCCACACCACGCAATGCTGAGTTGGCAGTAAATGGCGTCGTTCACCGTGTACCGTAAATACTTCAGGATGCACCGTAGAGACGCCTAGGGGACAAGAAAAAAGATCGCTTGATGTCCGTGCACACCTGTGGCGAATCTGGAGACGTTTGATGGAAAAATCAGCACTTCAACTATTTTCGGTAACGAGATAGCGGGTTTACTGAAGAAGAAACCGGAAGATGAAGACTAATTATGATGATGATGATGATGACACGAAAATCCAGAAATCGGGTATGAGCAATTTCTCGCGTGGATGATTAGAGCCCAGTACGATACTTTTGGGAATATTATCAGATAAAAATATGGGCCTGTCAGTGATTTTGGCTTGGTTTTGAAAGCTTAGCTAAGCGTTCTCGCCGAGTTTCGAGCCGTTTTGTACGCGGATCACGTGAGATTTCACCCGTGCCATCCCTACATAGAGCGTCTACCGACGCTCTGATACTGACACATTCCCTTGAGTATATACAGTATCAGAGTATTTGTATTGATACTCCTCTAATACTAACCGGTGCGATAAATGACACTGTCTTTGAGGCAGAATGGACAACACAGCCATCAGTCACAGTGGCTGTGAATGTGAGTGTGGACCCTAGCTCAGTTGATGATAGGGGCAAAATGATCCAGGTTACTGAATCATTGCCTCTGGGGGCAACCATCAGACTGGTAGGACGAAAAGCCTGTCTGAAGCCAGTGACAGGCTCAGCTGTGAAAGAATAATGCACATCAGTGGGTAAGAAATTTTGAACTCTTAGGGGTATTGTTATGGCCTGTCCAATTTCAACCTCCATGCTGCCCTCTCCATCTGCTTCAACACTAAACTTAGCTCCGTCTTCTTGTGTAAATGTGATAGTCTTTGGTGAGAGGGTTGAATCGAACCTCCTACCACTTGCATCACTGCCCACTACCCTGTAGCTGACTGTGGCCGGAGGGAATGAAACGTTCCCCAGCAGTCGATTAGCACAACGGAGGAGAGGAGCTGTTGTGAGAACTTCTCCACTCTCATTATCCACCAGTTGCAGAGATGGGCTCCTAATATTTGCAATATTTGATGTCTCAATGGATACACGGTCCTCAGTGCCTGCATGTGGCAGTGTTAATTATACACCAACAATAGCTACACTACTGTAATGCTTACATGCTGGTGGTGGTGGTGAACTGCGGACAGAGAACGAGCCTTCATCTGATTTAAGAAACTTGAATATGGAGTGGATGCTGTTCATGATGTCCAGTGAGATGGTCAGAGTTCCAGTCTCAATACAAATGCTCCATTGTCCCGCTGGTGGGTCCTCAGCACGGTATAATTTTTCACCCCGAATGTTGCCAATGACACGAACTTTCTCTGAGCGTGGTGTTGTAACTATCAATTCTTCACTGGTGAACCCTAGTGCTGTCAGTGACGTGGCAAAGGAGGACGTGGTAAAATAGTGGCACCTCTGCTCAGTATTGAAGGAAGATGTTACCACTCCTCCGTATTCTTCGTTTTTTGCCCATAAATGGTGTTAAAATTCCGTAAAATTCCGGATGAATTGGAGGCTCTGATGATGAGTTAGGGAGACAGGGACACTGAAAATCCAGCATTATACACAGAGCAGTAACTAATGGCTGCTGACAGCTACCAGACTTTACTAACACTTATTGTGTACTGCTGGTAAGTGGTAAGATGGAACTGAAAGCTGAAAGTGTCATAGACGGTTACCTGTCTCTTTCAGTCGTAGTTATAGCCCTCGGCGCGCATGCGCAGCGAGGGTTGGTCTAGGTGTGCGTGTGTGTGTATAAACATCTGTCCGACTTATTCTCGCACTACAGGCTTCGAGGTGGCCTTAGTGCCATACCAAACGCTTCAGTGCTACAAGCGCATGAAAATTGAAAGGCACTGAAGTGCAAACCCTCGGCGCAGTGATAACAGTGAACACACACGCACAATTATGTAAAGTAATGGGTGGGGCAACGGTATCACCAGGTCTGGTAGAATTGTTGTACTTACTGGTGCTGTATTTAGATAAGATTATTCTTTCCTCCTAAGCCTAACCTAGTGAGCTACCATTCAAGAAGGTTCCGGAGAATTGTGCGTGGGCGTATGTTTCAGATATTTTTTTAGCTTAATTAAAACGCTCCTGATTTATAGTGAATTCAGGTATATTTCTCGGATTTTTCCTACCTTGTTTTCCAAACTCATTAGCATATTCATATTCCTCCTCCATACATTATGGGAGAGAAAACTCGTGCGCGACTCACCCAGGAGCGTCCATTATGCGCAGTGGCTTGCTTCGGGAAGAAAATGGAGACGGACCGTTCGCTCCTGGGTGAGTCGCGCATGGGTTTCATCTCCCATAGAGAATGTATGGAGAAGGAATATGAATATGCTAATAAGTTTGGAAAACAAGGTAGGAAAAATCCGAGAAATATACCTAAATTCACCATAAATCACTAGCGTTTTTGCTATGCCATTGAAAAAAAGATCTGAAACATACGCCCACGCACAATTCTCCGGAATCTCATTGATTTTCAAACGCCTTAGTTGGAGGCATACTTACTGAACTCAACCGTCTTCTCAGTCTGAGGGAAAACAAAATGGCTGCTGGCCACGTGGTCCCAATCAGCGTGCGCCGCCTGCTGCCGCCTCGGAGTCGCGTGCATTTTGGTGTAACACATGCGCGTTGTTAAAATGGCCGCCCATGCCGTACCGTACGAACAGGAAAACGCTCTAGCTCTGCAACGAAGCAGTTTCAGAGGAAAATCCCACATATTCTGACCTCCGTCGGCCGTTGGGTATGTAAACCCGTTTTGGACGCGATCTATGACTGGAGAACAGAATGAGTAACCCTCGCTGCGCATGCGCGCCGAGGGTTAATAAAATGACCGAGTTCGAGCGCGCACAGTCCCAGACCACGCCCAACCATCAATTAGTGGTGCGCATGAGAGATAAAATCGCACTGGCTTACCGCGACCTAATCCGCTCGCTTTGTGTACCTTGGGGGCTCAGGATGTCACAACGAATGCCATGTATCGACTACCGTATGCTATCTTACTCTAGCTAGCCCGTGTCAGACTCTCGGCGAGGTATGCCACAAGTACAAATAGCCCAGCCCATCAGTTAGCGCATGCGCAGTTCCCCGAGGGTTTGCACTTTCATTGTAGTAGGAGGTGGATATTACTCTCACTGTCATCATGTGATAATGGCATCACAATGGGTTTTAAAACGGGAGTTGTAGTAGTTGCAATATAATAGCTCCATTCAGAGGTATGGGCAGAACCACAGTGTCATTTTTATAATAATTAACCTTTCGGCGCGCATGCGCAGCGAGGGTTACAGTAGTCGTTCTGTCTGTCCGTCTGTCCGTCCGCGCGAGTTCTAGCACTACAGGCTACGAGGCGGCCAATGAGTGGCACCAACGGGTTGTGAACGACGAGAAGATTGATATTAAGAGTAGAGTTGGAATTTGCACGCCTTCGATGAGATTATAAAAAGACATTGCTCGCTACTGTTTGGGAGTGACGAGGTATTACAGTTTGGCCTTCCCTCGCACCTGGCTAACTACACGCGCGGCAAACGGGTCGTGATATATTTTTATCCGGGGGATAGTACAATTAGTGTGGAATATCCGGGTCCGGATATTTTATCCCTCTAATAAGAAAGTTTCTGCGCATACGGTAGCGCATCTAAACGCGCAGCTATTAATTTTTGTTGGCGCTGTCGCTGCTCGCTGTTTCTGTACTGTTATCTCGTATACCGAGTTGAGTCTGCACGACTGCACTCCTTCTCGTCGAGACACTCAGCGGTTGCGCGGATCGCGGCCGCGTGCAGCCCTTCAACGAACCGTCTTCAATAATACTGTAACTCCAAACAACGCATTCTGTAATGTTGAAATCCCCCTCAATAGAGGACAGAACTTCAAAACAACACACCGCCTGCGTTTCGACGCTCCTAATAAAGCACAGCACGGGGTATAAAATATCCCAGGTGCGGATAGAATATCCTAGGAAATCGGGGGGGATAGATTATCAATATCCCATCCGGCCGGATAAAAATTCGGGGGGACGTATATTATACCGCTACACCTGGCGCCGGATATTATCCCACTAATATACTAGTGGAAATGTTAAACATTGTTGGCGAGCGGGAGCGACCCAACTGGGACTTTCCTTTCGTGAAGCAAGAGAGCTACCTGTCGCCCGCGTAACATATCTATATTGCCAGAACGGTGAGCAGGTGAGCAGAACGGTCCTTACCTTACGCTTTCAGCTCGTCTGTCGTGGTCCACCAGGCAGCTGGCATGGCAGTAGGCTAGGCAGCGATCGATATCAGGCTGCCAGACAACGCGGCGTGTGTTAGCTGGTCCACACCAGGCAGCTCAGTGGCATGCAGCAGTATGTGCACGAGCAATCCTAGCGTATTTGCAAGTTGCAGCTTGGAACCATGACGATTGGGAAGGTCAGTCACCGAAGGTTGCAGCGCATGCCGTCGAATTGAGGAGAGTTCTCTATTCGATTGGCGCGAGGCAGGGTGAGTGAAAATGTTGGAAAAGCCGCGCATGCGCACTTACACGACGTACGACGAACGATAGAAAATTCCGCTCGAACGAACGACTAGGTTGGCTCGCTCCCGCTCGCCAATTATAGAACGTTTCTGCGCATACGATAAGAGCGCGGGAAATCGGACATTTTTGTCTCTGACGCCCTTTACTGTGCGACTGTGTTCGCTCCGTCCCTCGACTGGCTACTAACCACGACTTCACGGTTGGACCGTCTCGATCTTCTTCTACCTTCGTCACCACGTGAGTCTGCTCGTTCCAGCCTTCGAGAGTCTGCACTGAGATTTCTGATTGCATCTGCCATTACCGAAGAGAGATACCAACAGTTCGTGGACTACCTCAGGGGAGCAAAGTACCAACCAGGATTCACAACCAATGCGAAGCGTATATATACTCCGGCAGCAGGCAACCATGTTTGAAGAAAAGGACGCTATCCTCTTCCATGTATCAAAAGGCAAAAATGGGGGAAGCCTGTACTCCGTCGTGTGCTAGCCAATGCCTCTGGAATCGATGGAGGACACTTCGGACGGGACAAGACCCTGAGCAAGGTAGTTTGAGACCAGTGTTTAGATGTTCCCATGTGATTACTGCTTTCACCCAATATTACAATGTTATTTAATGTAGCTTACCCCTTCATACTGGTGGAAAGGAATGGCGAGTGATGTGTCCGAGTTCTGCAAGAAGTGTGACACTTGTCAGCGAGTAAACAACCGTCTTGGCAAAGCAAAGGCTGAACTCCACCCTATCCCGCTCACAGATGTGTGGAGACAGATAGGAATTGACCTCATTGGTAAGTATAATTATACCCTCATCAATAGTACAATGCTACCCTACATCCATATTTTGTTTAGGTCCAGACAGAACATGGCAATAAATACATTGTCATTGTGACCGATTACTTTTCAAAGTGGCCAGAAGCAGCTCCTCTAAAGGACTAAACTGCTGTAGGTGTTGCTGACTTCCTGTTCTCACTGTTCTGCCGACACGGATGACCCGAGACAGTTATATCTGACCAGGGGCCCAGGGCAGAGGATTTGTCAATGGGATCACAAGGTTTGTGGACAAAATGTACGACTAATACATGATTGTGTGTTTTCATTCATCAGGTCCTTGTTTGTGTGCACTGGTGTGGAGCATCGAATCAGTAGTCCGTATCACCCTCAAACAAACGGGCTGGATGAGCAAATAAACTAGACACTCTGGTCCATGCTCTCAACAAGCTGACAACGAAGGAGACTCAGTGGGTCAGTCTAATACCAGAACTTTGAATTAGCTACATTTTTTGGTTACAAGCAAAAAAGTTTACGATTATGAATTGTAAAGAGAAACAGTCATCTCTTTACTCTCCTACACTCGAGCCCATGATAAGGCCTAAACTAATGAAACGGAATTGGTCCTCTCTTGCTCTTCCTGTTGCTCCTCCTCCTCCTCCTCTTTTACATTGTTGTTTTCCTTTTCCTCCTTCTCCTCCTCCTCCTCCTCCTCCTCCATTTCCTCTGCCTTCTCTTCATCTCCTCTTCCTAAGAAGGGGTTATAACCCACCTGCAGGTAGCCCGCCATGCGTTCAATGATATTTGAAACCGTGAAATAAAGCTCTGTGAATGTTGGTCTCTCTTCTGGCATCATCTGCCAGCACTGCTTCATTATGCCATAGCTGAACAGATGAAAAAGAGGCATTTACCAAGGGAGTAAAATAGCTAGCCTACTGATACTCACATTTCCTCGTTACAGGCATCATTATAAGGCTGATGCATCCGATAGCCCTCCTCTAGACTTTGAATAAGAGTGTGGGGATCAGTGCCAGGATATGGGGCTTTCCCTCCACTGAACACCTCCCACATTGTCACCCCATAGGACCACTGTTGAAATAAAGACAGACAGAAACCTCATAAGGTCTTTAATTGACAGTAAATGCACATGGCGACAAAGGACGCTCCAGATAAGGGGACAACTCTCTAAATGGACACCCTAATTCTGCCCATACCGATCAGTATTTGGGACATCCCTCTAAATAAAGGACACTTTCGATGTTCCCAAGGTGTCCCGATTCCACTGTATACATACCACATCGCTCTTCTCAGAGAAGTGTCCGTCACTGAGGCTCTCTGGAGCCATCCACTTGACTGGCAGTTTCACTCTCTCCCCATGGCTCTTGCCCTGTCTGTAGTAGTTCCTCTCAAACACATCCTCCGTCAGACCGAAATCTGAGATCTTGATCAGGAAATGTGCATCGATCCTAACAGGGCCAGGGGTGCAGATATTCAATATAGAGTGATGACTTTGCTGCAGAGCTCACATGCAGTTCCTGGCAGCCAAGTCGCGGTGGATGTACTTATTGGCCGCCAGGTATTGCATCCCACTGGCTATCTGGGAGCACATGACCATCAGCCGCTTGCGAACTTCCACTACCTACCGAGGCAAAGTATAGCACTACGTAAAGTAACCAAGTGAGAAGTTACCTCATCTTCATCAGATTCATGTAAAACGAGGTTCTTTCTCTCTCTCCTGAGATAGGTGAGGAGACTCCCATTGGCCATGTATGGCATAATTATGTAGCCAGCTTCCAGACAGACTCCAGTGAGGCTCATGACATGTGCATGGCTGAACCGACTCATTTTCAGACTCTCCTCCAGAAACTTGTCCACCTCGACCTGGTCAACATCACCTGCCGGGACAAAAAGTGGAGGACATAAGTGTATAGCTGCTCTGCAGGACATACCTTTAAAGGTCTTTACAGCTACTACTGCCTTGGATAGCTGCAGCCTTGCCTTGTAGACTATCCCAAACTCCCCTGTATTAAAAAAGAGTGACAAAATGTGTTCTGGTAACTGGTGGACAGAACTACGTACCTTCCCCAATACACTCCAGTAGAGTAATATCTCCACTCTTGACCAGGAACTTCCCCCTGGCCAACTCTCTCAAACGATACGAGGGAACCCTGGTCCAAGATATGTGTGAGAAGGTTGTCGACTCACTAGCTGGCCATGGCTCGCCTACAATGGAGTTACTGTTACTCTTCTTTGTGTACAGGAGAGTCCCGCTTACAGTAAGGGTTGTTGGCTCCAGCCTCATCAGGTGCTTCTTTTTCATCTGGTTCATTTTCCACCATGGATTGTGTTCTGTGAGTTGACTCCAAGTTGGGGACATTTAAACCAGCTCTGCACAAGAGGAGTTAGTTAGCATTATAAGCGGACTTATTTAAACAACAACCCCCTTTTTATTGCATAGGTGTGCCCAAAAATCTGGTACATGGACTTTCATTTCGAGTGAGCAGTTTGTGTCAGTAATGAAACTAGTTTTGGTTGCCAGTTGTTTTGAGACTCACACAGCCATTATGTCGAGCTGCATCCTCTCCAACTGCTTCCTCCTGTGTCTCTTGGAGGACATTACCACCAGTAGTGGAACTATAACTGCTACAAATGCTACTAGTAAGGTGAACACTGCAACTCCTATTACAGCCCATGTTAGTAGTGAGCCTCTCTTAGGGGAGCTAGCACCAACTGCAGCTGTGGAAGTTCAGTGACATGACTGATCAGAACTCAGAGTTACCTCAAGTGTCTGTAACCAAGCTATCTGTAATTAGGTATACTGACAACTATTTACAGCATTGCTACACCAGAATAGGTCCATCTTAGAGATTCATGCTCCCCGAATATTTTCGGAGTAGGTTGGTGGGAATGCAGCAATATGCAGTGTTGTTTTTGCCTTTGCAATACCCGACACAAGTGTAACTGTATAGATTTTGCACAGCACTTTATGCTTTGTGATATGAAATCAGCCCGAAATTATTGTTCTAGGGTCTGTGCTCATGATGATGATAACCTTTAGTGCATTCTAAGACAAATTAAGATTAAGGTAACTTCGGATTTGACAACGCATCTGCCATGCCTATATAGCTGCAACACAACAATTGAGTATAGTATACACCACTGTTGTCTGTATACAGCCACCAAGCTAGAATGCAGAGGGATGTGTGAACCTGTGCATATTTTATCGGCGAGTTATGCCGAGTATGTTTCCCCTTGTTCAGGACACCACCATTTGACTTGTTGTTTTATCTAAGTTCATACAAACTTTAGGTAGGAAAGAGACTGACAGTTGTGTCACACTGCACAGCGAACATTTAGGGTCATAATAATATACTTACTAGAGAATTTCCTGCATGAAACTGCTATTTTGGTACATTCTCCTGCTGTTGATAGTACATTATGACTGCACTCATTCACGTATCTGTCAGACCCTGTACATGTGATTGGATCCAGAAATGCCAGTGCATTCTCAGCAGCATCAGGAGGTGCATCAATAAGTACACCATCTGAAGTGATCACTTTCTATATAGAGCATCATAACACACATACCCTACCTCCGGCGTCAAAACCTAGGTGCCTGCAAACAACCCTAGTGTCGTTAGCGTCCCACCCATCACTACAGACACCTCCCCATACTCTGTCACAGCAGAACTCAACATAGCCATTGTAAGGACTCGCCCCACCTTGTAGCCTTACATCACCGTTCTCACATCCTCTCTTCTCATCTGTGAATCCATTATAGAGCTTACTAACAAATTCTGCACACGTCAACATGTGTATATACCAAAGCAGTTAATAATGAAAAGCACTAAAGTGCAAAACCCTCGGGGGCGTGGTAAGTACCACACGTGTGGGTTGGGCTATGTGTATGCGTTAAAATAAAGCCAGTGTAGCGCTGAACCTTTTGGTACCGCTCTATTGTTGTCTGGTGGCAGAAAACATGGTAACAGACAGACTGACTGACAGACAGACAGACAGACAGAAAAACTTACGGACCAAGTACCGTAACCCTCGCTGTGCATGTGCGCCGAGGGTTAATAACTGTAAACCCAATGCCAGGCACATCACATGACACTACAATATTAAGTACTTTATTCTTGATGGAGCATGACAAAGAAAGTGGACGTGTAAAAGAGAGGGTTGGAGTTAGAGGAGGCACAGGTGTCAATTAATAGCACAGTGAGATTGAAATATCACTTTCAATAGCTTGGGATGCTCTAGTATGTGAATGATTCAGCGCAGAAATGGTTCACCGAAACCTTTAAAGCACCGAAGCAATAATCTCTGGGACTCCCCAGTTTCCAAGTTATGACAAGAAGTTTCCATGCAAGGCATTGCCATACTGCATTTGCTTGCTATCATATTATACATAATATAGAATGTTGTCTCTTTAGTGCAGGTGGACAACTACGAGTCATGCATATTGTTGAAACTGCAACCTCACATAATGTTTAGGAACACACATCTGTTTTTGGTTTGAAAGCACACACCCGATGTCCTGTTAATGTTGAGCTCCCATCGATCAGCTCTGTAGCTGCCACTGAATGAAGTGACAGGACCAAATCTTTGTTGAAGGTAGAGCAGAAGCTCTGCAGTTCCTCCACCTCCATTATCAGTCCCATATCCAAAGTAATTGTCACGGTCCCTTAGTGTCTCAGTTTGTCTATTAGCATTATTGGGGCTTGAAGTGACAGTACTAGCATAGTATCCACTCTAAATGAAGAGTAATCAAACATGGGTTAATAGATCGCTCTAATAACATCTTGGCTCATTACCAGAATGACTCTGTCAATGGTGACTCCACTAGTGACACTCAGTCTCCACCTCACTGGCTCATATGATGTCAGAACTAGTATGAGAGGACGAGGACTCTCTCCAGAGACACTGACTATCACATCTGTGTCTCCTGCTACTCTGTCTGTAAATACCCCATGTGTTCCATTACTGCTCTCATAGTTTCCAATGACATGGACTTCATAGTTACAGTTGTCAGATGCCACACAACCATAAGTTGTCTCAGAGTCTCCATCAGTAGTTGGAGTCCCAACGATAGATGCAGAGTCTTGCTTTATCAAACAACTGCCAATATGAGCTGTATGGTGTTAAGACACGTTTATCTTTAGAGACACTGGTAAATGTTTCTTACGTAAACAAGTGCAGTGGTCATAGAAGGCATTTCCAGGGCATTGGCACTGGCCGTCCACACAAGTTATATCCTGGTAACCATTAGGTCCACGCAGACTGCCACAGTAGTTGAATGGAGCGACGCACTGTCTTGTTGGAGGACTTGAACACCCATTGCTCTCATCTGAAAAGAGTAGTGGCACTTCTGTATAGCTACACATATTTTTATGGACGTCAAACACAAGTAATATTATTATGGTACACGAGTAATATTTGGTAGATCTGACAGTGCTGTTCATTAATGGACAAAAAGGCTTGGTTCATTCAGATAAAACTAAAAACTGGCTTAAAATATGGTGCCACGTCGAGCAAGTTGCTGTCAATGCAGGCTCTTATTGTACAAGGCACTACTCAAACACACAGTCGCGGCAATTACCAGCCCTGCAGGAAGGTTCCACTCCAGACCAGGAACAATTTTCCAGACATGTCCTCATTTCAGGTCCAACCAGAGTTCCCTCATGACAACTGTACTTGGCCACCATTGGCTGGACTCCAGTCACATTCACTTCTCCATTCTCTGGAGCAGAGGGTACCGGACAACTGCGAGTCATGTTGTTGTATCTGCAACCTGAGGTAATGTCAATGTTTGGAAGCACAAATCTGTTTTTGGTTTGAAAGCACACACCTGATGTCCTGTTAATGTTGAGCTCCCATCGATCAGCTCTGTAGCTGCCACTGAATGAAGTGACAGGACCAAATCTTTGTTGGAGGTAGAGCAGAAGCTCTGCAGTTCCTCCACCTCCATTATCAGTCCCAAATCCATAGTGGTTGTCAGGGTCCCTCAGAGTTTCTGTTTCTCCAATAGCATTGCTGGGGCTTGAACTGACATTGCTAGTGTAGTATCCACTCTAAACAAAGAGTCACCAAACATGGGCTCAGTAGATTACTCTAATAGCGTCTTGACTCATTAATTACCAGAATGACTCTGTCAATGGTGACTCCACTAGTGACACTCAGTCTCCACCTCACTGGCTCATATGATGTCAGAACTAGTATGAGAGGACGAGGACTCTCTCCAGAGACACTGACTATCACATCTGTGTCTCCTGCTACTCTGTCTGTAAATACCCCATGTCTTCCATTACTGCTCTCATAGTTTCCAATGACATGGACTTCGTAGTTACAGTTGTCAGATGCCACACAACCATAAGTTGTCTCAGAGTCTCCATCAGTAGTTGGAGTCCCAACGATAGGTGCAGAGTCTTGCTTTACCAAACAACTGCAAATATGAGCTGTATGGTGTTAAAACACGTTTATCTTTAGAGACAGTGGTAAATGTTTCTTACGTAAACAAGTGCAGTGGTCATAGAAGGCATTTCCAGGGCATTGGCACTGGCCGTCCACACAAGTTATCTCCTGGTAACCATTAGGTCCACGCAGACTGCCACAGTAGTTGAATGGAGCGACGCACTGTCTTGTTGGAGGACTTGAACACCCATTGCTCTCATCTGAAAAGAGTAGTGGCACTTCTGTATAGCTACACATATTTTTTATGGACGTCAAACACAAGTAATATTATTATGGTACACGAGTAATATTGTGGTAGATCTGACAGTGCTGTTCATTAATGGACAAAAAGGCTTGGTTCATTCTAAAACTGGCTTAAAATATGGTGCCACGTCGAGCGAGTTGCTGTCAATGCAGGCTCTTTCATTACATGGAATCGTACAAGGCACTACTCAATAACTGGTTGCATGAGATAAAGTTGCGCCATGTATGTTGTGATTTTTGTTGCATGAGACAAGTTGCCTCAAATTGACAACAATTCAATTTTAATGCAACAAGTTGCATGCAAATTATGCCAACATACATGGTGCTACCTGCATGATACAAAAGTTGGGAATGCAAAGTTTCGCTGTGTACGTAGGGCTTTACAAAAACATGTGCAGCAGTCATCGAAGGCATTTCCAGGACATCGGCACTGGCCATCAACACATGTCAACCGTTGGTAACCATTAGGTCCACTTAGACTACTACAGTTAGTCGTGTGGATGCCTAGCATTCCACTATAGCATTATACTGTCACTCCACATATGTACTGAACACCATTGCATGCAACCTACTGCTTCCCCCATAAGGTTTTTTTCCCAACAGGAAAGACTCTGTACTAGGCCTTGGCAGATTATGCTGGCATAACTTTGAGAAAAATAGGGGCATATGAGCCTTGAGAATTATGCAGGAAAAATAGGCCAATGATTCCGGAAAATTCACCCATGCACATGTGCATAACTCCATCACATGGGCTCGCTGTGTCATGTGACAGAAATGGCTGAGGCAGAGGTCGAGACTATAGTATGTGCAGACTAGTGCTTCTAGTTCAGCTGTCTTCCTCATTGGCGGAGTGTTCTTACTATACTGAACAATGCTCAGCAGGAATCTTCCTTAGAGGACTATTTACAACTCTCTGTCATGTTACAGTACAATTATAGAAATCAGTGTCTTTTTTGAACAGTCACTTTTTGAGAAAAACAGGCACGATCGAAAGAAAAATGGGTGAAAGAAAAAAGAAATATGGGCATAATATAGGAGCATTAAAGAATAGAAAAATAGGGCAAAATTTGAGCATAATCTGCCAAGGCCTACTCTGTACTTATAGAGCATCAGCTGATAATTCCTGATGTCTGATCTATTCTTAATGGTCTATACAGGCAGCATTTGAGGCCATGTCTAGTACCTAGAACATTTTCCTGTAACTGAAATAGGGTTAATGGACATGATCACATACCTTACACAAGGTCGGGTAGTGTGTTAATGCATCATCAAAATGTTTCCCAAACTGCAGTGTGAACCTTTAAAAACTTACGCACAGAATGCACTTTTGCACCAGATACTTCTTGTTGGGAACAAACACTAAAGGCATGCTGTTTACAACCTCATTTCTCATTGTCCACCCTGATCCCCCATAATAGCCAAACGGACCTACAGACTGTAACCTGCATTACTACGTACATGACTGTTTTCCTCAGACAACCAACAATTAAACACTAACTCTATGTATATTTTCATGTGTCACAATTTGTAAGTGTAACAGCTTGTGCCTATATATGTTGTACAACTGTATGAGTAGGTAATGATGTAAGTGTAGCCACTCACCGACTGTCGCAAAGCAAAAAGACTGAAACCAGAGCACAAACCATATTATAGTACCCTGCAAGAGCAGAAACGGGGTAACTAACTTAACAATCCAAAATCATTTTACTTTTCGTCCCATGGTTTTGAGTTAGAATTTCGGGCGTCGAACCGTTATTCTCGACGACAATTTTCTTTTACAGGAGATGACTTTCTTCGGTAGAATAATGTTTATTCTGGCGACTACTTCGTATTGCGGCGGCGTTTCTGCTTGTCACCTTCTTAGAGCGCCGATTGGCCTCTGTGATAGCGGCAGATCACAACTACGGAAGCCCATTGGGGCCATTCTATACTTCCGTTCTACGCGAACTTCCATCCTTCCATCTTTTTCCATCATGCGATACTTGCGTCTAGCGCGAACGTCCAAACCTTGCATCCCCGTCCTACCTTCTATCGTGTCATATACCTGGTGCCATACAGTCGGGACTACAGTGATATTTTCGACTTTGCCCGCATGCGCAGTACTAACGTAGCTAGCCCGCGTCACTCTGCGCGACCTAGCGTGGAGACCACATGTATTTGGCCAGGCCAACCCATCAATTGGCAGTATAATATACAGTGCGCCTGCCGCACGTACTTGGCGGCCCAGTCCAACCTCATGATACGCTAGTGGGCGTCTGACTGAAGCATGAAGTGTGTTTTAATCTCGCCCGAATGCATGCGCACGCGAAGTAATTTCCCGACCTTGCTCGTGTTTCAAATTCTGTCGTCCAACTGCGCATACGTGCTTGTAAAATAGCGTTTGCACATTATCTCATGCAGCTCTCGCTCCCGCTCACCAAATATATATGCTCTCCATTCACACTCACTAGTATTGCCTCTTCATTACAGAAAAGTTTTTTTATTTTATATAACAGCCTGCATGCACCCCTCACTATAAAAATGGGTTGTATACATGATTGCATAATGTTCACCAGACCTCAAAAAGCCTAGACTGGATCTAGGTTCAGTTGCAGAGTGGATTTAGACCAGCACCTACTGTAGCCTACCTCTTGCAGCATCCCAACCACCTTCCCACCATGCGTAGCAGCTTCATGCTCCAGGCAGAACTCCCTGGCTAGTTTATGCACAAATAAATTCAACATTATGGTACAGTGAAACCTGGACTCTCCAAATAAGGGACACCTCTGAATAATTGATCTCCCAAAAGTGTCACCTATTCAGAGATTCAACGCTGCGTAGTTTTTTACCCGATTAGTTCGTCGGTTGTGCCAACTGCTTCAAATACATCATTGTCCTTTGGAAGCCTCTGACCAGAGAATATGCTGGACACACCTGCATTGTATTGTACATATGCAGTGGAACCTCGACACCAATGAATTGGTGGTGTTTTTTTTCACGGGTTAAATTGTATGCAAGAGCTGTTGTTGGTAAAAAAATGTCCTTTTTCAGGGGTGTCCTTGGTTTCACTGTACACTGGGAACAATCAGTAATGTATAATATCATGCACGACCTTTGTCCCCTTGTCTGGTGTAGATTTTCAATTTCTGGCCCGAGGTTTCACTACATATAATAGCCAGGTGCAAGAGAAAAAAATTTTTACATAAAATTCAGGTAACTTTAACATAGGAGTACCTGATGAAGAGAAGTCTGCTGCTGCCAGCATGCTGGTGAAGTCTGATAAACGACATCAAGACTTTGTGGCTGCGCTTGCGCACTGGCTATATTACGGAAGCCCATTGGGGCCGTGCGCACTTCCAAATTGTGCCACTTCCAAATTGTACTACTTCTCACTTCCAAATTGTATATACTACTTCCAAATTGTGCTACACTGCATGCATTGGGGCCGTGCGCACTTCCAAATCGTGCTACTTCTCACTTCCAAATTGTACTACTTCCAAATTGTACTACTTCCAAATTGTATCACTTCCAAATTGTATAATATACTACTTCCAAATTGTGCTACACTGCATGCAGGGTTTAGATGGCGGTCCCGCGGGGTCGTCTGGGCGCGCAGGAGACTAGCGCGCGGAACGAGGGGGCGGGGTCTGGGCACGAGACTAGTCGCACGTCGGGCTGTAACAAAACACGAACGGAAAATGTATTCTACCATTAATTCTGGTGAATGTTTTTGCTTCAGACATTGTCATCATCGTGAACATGATATTCCTCGTCATTTACACTGCCTTCATAACGGGTCAGTACGTGGCACGCAATGTCTGTACAGTAATTCTACACGCGAACCCCCTTTTCTCCTGTGCTGCAGAATCGGAGGCTCCTGATCGTTTCAAACAGATCAACATTGTCCTTCCTCTCTCGTTCCTATTCCTCCTCGGTTAGCATCTACCGTGTGACTCTTTATATATACATACATCTTCACTGCACATGTATATTTTTGGCCCCTCCTCACAATTTTGAACTTTCACGAAAACATTTGCCCTGCCGTGGCTCACCATTCATTTGCCTTTTCCCCAAGCCATATAAAAAAAAATCACACGCTGCAAAAAAATCAGCATTGTTTTTCATATACAGTGTACATTGTGGAGATAAGTCTGAAGATTCTGGCTCTTGGTCCAATCCAGTACTTCAAGAAGTTCTGGAACATGTGAGTGAGCTTATGCACCGACAACTGTTGTTTTTATTGTGTCATGTGACAATCATGTGACGCAGGTGTGATTTCGTGGTGATCACAATAAGTCTGATAGCAGCGTGTCTGGAACTTCATCCTCTCTACCACTCCCTGGCCGTCGTCAGACCCATCAAACTAATCAGGTCCGTCCAGTTTTTAACCTGTTTGAAACAAGTCTCAATTTGACTCTCTTCTCTCCCTCCTCCCTTTTCTCTCTCCCACTCTCTCGCTCTCAGAATTATCCGACTAAAGAAAAGATACCGAGACATCATGAACACTATGGTTGTTCTCACCCTACGCCTAATCAGGTGACCTGTCACATGATTAACACTCGGCGCGCATGCACAACGAGGTTTACTGTAGTTGGTTAGTCTGTCTGTCGACGCTTATTCTAGCTCTTCAGGCTACGAGGCGGCCCATTAGCGATACCAGCGGCTTCACAATTACACGAGCCTGAAAAATAAAGGGCAATTTTCCTGCGTTCGAGAGCGACAAACTGGCACGGTCGCGGACCGCGTTGCGTGGCCCAACCCATCAATAAGCGGTGCGCATGCGTCGCGATCAACGCGTCGACCTGATCCGCTTGCTCTGTGTACCTTGGAGGCACAAGAAGCCACAGCGAAGGGCGTGTATCAACTCCCGCTACTACTGTAGCTAGCCCGTGTCAGACTCTCCGCGAGCTATATTTCACCAACTTGTTATTTAACCACGATCCTGATATTAGAACAATTTTACCATATTATAACCATCATAATGAAAAGCACTAAAGTGCAAACCCTCGGCGAACTGCGCATGTGCGGTACCACTAATTGATGGGTTGGGCTTTTTATGCCTTTGCTCGTGGTATCCCGCTAGTAGCTCGCGGAGAGTCTGGCACGGGCTAGCTACAGTAGTAAATAGCATGCGGGAGTCGATACATGCCCTTCGTTGTGACTTGTTGTGCCTTCAAGCTTCAAGACACACAGAGCGAACGGACGCGGTCGAGGTAAGCCTGTGCAAATTTACATATTGGCTTGTTCACTTGGTTTTCACGCCATAACTTTAAAACACAGTAGTTTTACGAAAATCGCCTTTTTAAAAATCAACCCAGTGTAGCACTGAACCCGATCATATCGCTATTTACCTGATTTCGTGCGCGCGGTGGCAGAAAACGTGGTAACAGACAGACTGACTGACAGACAGACAGACACTTACGGGACAACTACCGTAACCCTCGCTGCGCATGCGCGCCGAGGGTTAATAATAATATTATGACTAGACCACTATATCATGTGCCAAAGTGTCTCCAATGTGTCACTGCTTCTGATCGTCATCTTCTACTTCTTTGCCATTGTGGGGATGGAGGCCTTCCAATATCAAGTCACAGAAGGCTGCTGTGTGTAAGTGTTAAGTAGTAGGGATCTATTATGGTTGCGTGACACTATTATGGCTGCGTGATTACTTCCCTCTCCTCCATCACTCCGGTAGAAATGCCTCCTACTCGGTTGGACACAACAACGCTGGCTCCTTAAACAGCTCGGCACCTAACCCAGCCGTCTACCATCTGAACAATTTTGACAACATTCTCCGAAGCTACGGTGAGGTTTACCACACTAGTATGTTTTAGTAGAAAACGTAGGTGCTTAAATTCATCGTGACTATTAGAATATACACGGCTATTTTGATGTAAAGGAACACTGCAACAAGCCCGCCCCAATAATAGTGTGCATATTTGACTGTATCGTTGCTGTGTATGTTCTACAGTCACACTCTTTATCCTGTTGGTGGTGAATAACTGGTACATCATCATGGTGAGTTGCCTCCTCACCTTGTGTGCAATCCAGAGCTCTCACTTATATAACTCCTTCACCTCTATCCCTCTTTCCTTCTTCCCTCGTTCCCCTTACTACACCTTCTCTTCCTCCCTCCTTGCCTATTCTTCCCTCCCTCCTTCCCTATTCCTCCAGGAGGGGTTTGCATCAGAAGTCTCGCCCCACTGGACTGCCAGAATCTACTTCTTCTCTTTCTACATCGTCACACTGGTGAGCTACCAGGAGCATAAGGGACCACCTGCCTCGGAGTGCTTTTGCGCATTGCAACAGCATGCACAATCCCACATTAGCTAATGGATGCTTACTTCTGAAATGCTGTTCTTTGCTGTTAGGTTGAGCACTCTTTCTACAATACACTGCTGTCCGCATTTAGGGGAAAAATGGTGTATGGTGTACACTTATACTTGATAGGCCTCTCCAGTGGCAGATCTAGGATTTTGAAAGGGGGGTTCCGCTGTCCAGAACATTTTCGACTGCCCTCATGCGTGCGCACGAGGCCCTGCGATGCATGCGCGCAAAACGACAAAAAGAGGGGTTCCATGGAACCCAAGGAACCCCTGGATCTGCCACTGCTCTCGATAAAGATTTCCCCAAGTGACCCTCGTTCAGAGGTTTCACTGTGTTCTCTGATGTTGGTGTGTGTGTGTGACACAGGTGGTCCTGCAAGTGGTGATATCATTCATAGTGGAGGCATATGTCCTGCAACTAGAGGAGGCCAACCACTGCAAGGAGAGAGAGGAACAAAACCTCCAGATTGTTTACGACACCGACTGTGTTGAAGGTACAGACACGAGTCGCAAGTGAATGTGTAAAGTGCTTCCAAGAGCATGTATGACGTACGCATTATTTTGCGTGACTATATTTATTTCGTATTATTGTTGCCAAGCAGTTTTGAGCACTCTTCTCTTTTTGCCTGTAGTGTACGAACTCTATTAGTAGAAATGTGATAAATTGACTATTAGATCATTCCGGGCGCAAGATAACACAAAGGTGTATGCACATTAAACGATCACAAATTTTCTTCATTTGTACTCAGACGAACACCGTAAGAAGGAAGTGAGGATAACGCTGCACCACCAAGATATCAAGAAATTGAACTATCTTATCACATACACTGATGAACGTAGAACACGAAACAGAGAATTGTTTAGTTTCGATCGAGCGGTAAAGAAATTCAGGAGAATCAACCTACCAACGGTTAGGCACACTGCTGCTTCCGGGAAATTGACGATGTAATGATGATGTAATGTATTGTAGGAGGGGATGCAGTGTAGCGGGAGGAGACTCAGAACAAAGGATGACCTTCATCTGCTAAAGTACAGGGCTGATATCCAGGTATACTTGAACAAACGCAATGCAATTTTTAGTGAGCCAGAACGCTGTACGTAATGTTCGCACATGCACATTGTCATGGCGCAGATAACGTATATATAGCGCTACATACATACAGAACTGCACAGCTAGGTAGGCTTGCTTAGCTCGCCAATTATGTACACACCCGCCTTCTCACAATGTAAGATCCCCTCCCCTACCCTTCAGCAATGGATCAAGGAACATGACAAGACATCTGCTCCTTCCAAAACACCAACCAAACAGAAAATATGGGCCAAGACCAAGAAAATTCTCATCTACCTCCTGGAGTGACTCTTAATAAACCTCCATTTTACCTCTCCCCTCTCTCCTCTTCTTTCACTCTCCATTCTACTTGCTCTCCTCTGATACATCTGTATGATTTTGTGTTGCAAACATATTATATTTATGGTCACTCTTTGCTAACCGTGGTGCTAACCGTAAGATACAATGCAGGGCGGATGTTGAGTCTTGTGATGCCTAAGTGCTACCTTACTATAGTCTAGCTAGCCCGTGACCGCGGCATGCATGCACTTACTTTGCAAAAAAAAACCACCCAACCAACCTCGTTAGGATGTCATGGAAGAGGCACACTGGAAGATTATATTCACACCATTACCGAGTGTGTAAGAGCTTTAGGACAAAGAGGTAGTGATAAACTTTCCAAGAAAAAATCTCGCTGGTTTAAATAGTTTACAAGTGGTCTACTAAGTCTTGAGCTGAGGCAATTCGCATATTTTTTGCCGCAAAGTTCGTGTGAGTAAGCAAAAATGGTGCAATAAATCTCATGAAAATCTCTGCAAAAACAAAGTGACTCAAATGATAAACTGTCTGCAGAATTTGCCGTTCTGCAGCTGAGGACTCTTTCCAAGAGTGAGAAAATGCTCTAGAATATGTCTGGAAACTCAATCTCCCTTAAGTTTCCCCTCCCAGTACCCGCACATGCATCATTGTGTTGGTCAGTGGGTCGTATTCCTTATGGAACCACAGCGGCATGTGCGTCGCTTCTTTCTCGAGCATCGCGGCCTCCTCAGAGTCTCCCGCTGCAGCTGCCTCTGTGGCCTTGGCGGCCAGGGCTTCCCTCTTGCGACGCTTGCTTCGTTGCTTCTCTTCCAGTTGTATACCACGTGTGGAGAGAAAGTAGAGAAGTGGATAGGTACTGCTGCTACTATAGTTTCCGAGAAAGGTTTTTAAACTTTAATTCATTCATCATAAGTTGTGGTTTACATACCTTGAGTTTGTTTACCTCATCAAAATTCCCCTGCTCCATGAGCCGCTGATCTGGGTGGAGTCTGGAGTCTGTGGGTGCCACACCCTCCTCTGTTTCGTTGAGTGAACATGTGAACTCCGAGAAGCCGTATATTGCCTCGTGGCCTGGTCTGAAACAATTTAGCAGACAATTTTGATTAGTTGAAAGAACCTCTCAAAACACACTTTACTACCTCCGTCCTTTCTCATTGTAATTTTTTACATGATTCTAAATACGCACGACTACATGCAGTTGTTCGTGCTCGCTCGCCAAAAATACATAGTATCCGTCTAGTTGCTTTCTTGTTCGTTTTCTCCCGCCTCCCTCCCAACTCACTCAGGAGGTACGTTGGTCCACGCCAGCTCAAATTCTGACAGAGTAGCAGTCTTTTCGTCTCCGTCCAGAACTTTGGCCAGTCTTATCGCCTCGTCCCAGTGCCCCTTCAGAACATAGTGTGTCTTTCCTGACTCATCTGTTACACTGCCTGTGAGTTGATGTGGGAGACATACACATGAGGCTAGCCTGCAACACAGGCTGTAATATACTACAGCAAATAAGATGCGACCACTAATGTGCAAAACCATATATAGGCGCACTGCAAATGCACACGCATCGGTATAATATGCATTACAACACCCATAATAATATGCATGTGAAATATACGAGGTAGAAAGGCAAAGGCACAACAAACAAATCCACTACACCCAGGACAGCTCTGGGATTTGAACCCACAACACACACACACACACACACACACACACACCAAGTGGAGTAAAATTCTCCCAGTCTCTTACTCTTCTCTGTCTCTCTCTTGAGAGGTAGCTGTAGGCATGGAACTGATGTTGGCCTCTTCTCCGGGGATGGTATGGTTGGTGATCTTGGCATCTCCTGACTGCAGACATCCAGGGGCACGGAGGAGGGTATTGAATATATAGCCAAGGAGAGCAAGTTTGTCAAACCATAATTATGCATGTGTGGTCTGATCATTGGACTTCCTTATTATAGTTTTCGTGCTATGTTCAGAAAGCTACACTAAGGACCCGTGGGCTTCTAATGTGTATAATAAACAAATGAGTGGGCTGCCTAACATATAGTCAAATAAAGAGATAAAATTATGAGCATGTAAAAATTGTAAGTAGCTACTTATAGTTGCAAAAAATCAGCTTATACATGAAATATCAGAGAGAAAAAGTAGTGATACCTGATCGATCCATAGTTTCCCGTTGATGATATTGTGAATGGTAGTGACGACCTTGTTCCAGGTGTAGTGGTTCCCGCTCTTATGGAAGACAATGTGGGTGTTCCCGATGGGGTAGCAGACGGGGTATTTGCCCCTGAACTTGGAGGCCATGGTGTACTCTTCCCACATGGTGAAGCCCTTGTGCTCTATGTGCATAGCGAACATGGGAGGGTGGTGGGTGACCTGGTGACGGTGGGGAGGGGGAGTGGGGGATAATTACTAACTTTCTTGAACAGTGTAAAGTATTGCGAAGGCAGTTGGCCAGCAAGCACTGACACTAAAACCAACACTTGATTTCATAAATCTGTGAAAATGATGAAATTTATGAAATTTGCAAACATTTCCCCAGTATAATTCACTATTTTTCATGCCTTATGACAACACTGCATTTTCAGTCACTCTTATGTTCATGGGGATAACTGTTGAAAGCAGAAGCTAATGGGCTGCTCCTACCTGAAGCAGGGTGTATGCGTAGTGTCTCCAACAACGATGGTGGCACATATGGTGGGGTGGTTTCATAGGCAGGCTTCAGTAATCAGACTACAATGATAGCTATAACCTGGGGGACAAACAATGAAGGCGCTGGGCAAGGCCCGCGTAACACGGCGCACACTGCCAAGTTGCTCCTCGTACAAATCAGCAGCAAAACGCAAGCTAGCCAGTTAAAAATGTGTATACTGACTTACAGAAGGCACTGGGGGATAAGAGTTCCTCTGCAGGCATCCTGGCTTAGTCTGGTTCACGCATGCTAGTAATGCGCGCGCATTGCATTGGTTGGGGAAACGCCCTCCTCGGCGCATGCGGCTCACTGATGCTGAGTTAGCAGAAAATGGCGTTGTCCAGTGACTACCGTGGAAGAGCTCAACGGTCTACCGTAGTGACTTGCGGCAAGAAACAAGCGATCGCTTGACATGCGTGCACACCTCCGGAAAATTTGGAGACGTTCTGTGAAAAAATCAACGCTTCAACTGCTTCCGGTAAGGAGCTAGCGGGTCTGAAGAAGAAGAAGAAGAAGATGAAGAATAATTATGATGATGATGACACGAAAATCGCGAAATCGCGTAAGAGCGAATTCTCTCGTGGGGAACTGAGGGTACGTAGGAAGTCTTGGGGCATTTGTATAGCTAGGTATTGGCCTCTAGACTATTGCTAGTGATTTTGAAGCCATGGTGAGTCATTCTCGCTGAGTTTTGAGGCGTTTTGTACGCGGATCACGTGAGATTTCACTCGTCTCATCCCTATATAGAGCGTCTACCGACGCTCTGATTATACTAAGCCTCAAAGAAACAAAATTTGACCCACAGACATAATATTCCTGCACATGCTCTGTACAGAAGACCAAAACAATTTTGAGGTAGAAAACTGTTACATTAGCTACATTAGCTAGTCAACGCTCAAATTGTAAGAAGTGAACACCAAGTTTTTAAGAAGTGGACAATGGGCAATGGACAATGTAAGTTTTCTTCCTCAAGCAACATGTTACACACCTGTTCCATGAAGACTCTCCAGCCACACTCGGCCCGCCTGTCACATTCATACATCTCTCCCAACATGGGATTGAAGGGCTTCCCGACCCGGGCTGACACAGCCGTCGTCCCGTACACAGAGCAGGAGTAGATGGCGAGATACGCCAGCTCCTCCAGCGAGGAGTCGCAGCTGGCCGCCTTCTCTAGGATATCAACGTACAACATGTCCTCCACCATACGTTGCAGGATGGACGTGGTCTGGTTGAAATTTACCTTGAGGAGAGAGAAAATTTGAAAAATTCTGCTCTTTTCCCTTTACTTCTACCCTATCGTTTTTCTTACAAAGACTGTTACCAATAATTGAAGTTGTGTGTTTAGGAGCGTGTTAGCACAAAAAACACATGCATGAACCTAAAACGGGGGCCGTTCGTGGGAAGTTTTTTGATGCGTACTGTACTAGTAAATAATTTCATGCACTAATACTAAAGCTAGTACTGCACAGTGAACCCACTGGCATGGGTATCTTAGAGAGATCTCTCCCAATGCAGTTCTTCATGATAGTCCACAGGTTGAGTCTGTGGGAGGGGGTTTGGGAGGAGTGGTGCTCCGTCGTCTCGGCAACGTCGGCTCCCACTTCTCAAAGAAACTCTGCACCGGCCCATGAAGCAGCTGGGAGGAGGGGAGGGAGGGGAGGGAGGGAAGGACACAATTAATGAGGGCACCTCAGCTGCCAGGGCTCTAAGTCTAGAATATGCAACACGACAGGGGGAAGATGCTATGACCCAGAAACCAGCACCCCATAATGTCCCACATCGTATTAGCACTGTGATAGAAGTGAAGGACTAACCGACATGGTCCTCCCTGAAAAGGAAGGCAGCTGGTCTGGTTCCAGAGAAGACAGCAGCAGCTGTGCTTCATTCACCGACACCCCACTGACGTTCCTCGTGTGGCCAAACTTGATCCCCTCTACAACCCTCTCTCTCAACTGCACCCCTCGTCCCCTCTCCCCCTCTTCTTCCCCTATAGGGCTATCAAATCAACTAAAACTCTAATGCTCCACTGTGTGAAGAAATGATTTGAACTATCGCTTCATGACTGACCCCCGTGGAACCTGGAGACGCTTGGTGGAAAAAATTAGCACTTCAACTGGTTCCAGTAAGGAGATAGAAGATTGCTTATGAGTGAATTCTCGCGTGGAGAACTAAGGGCGTGTATAGGCATGAAATTATAGTTCAGAGCATATCTAGATATTGGCCTCTAGACTATTGCTAGTGATTTTGAAGGTATGGTGAGTCATTCTCGCCGAGAGTTATGAGGCATTTTGTACGCGGATCACGTGAGATTTGACCTGTTGATCATCCCTAATCCCTATAATAATATTAGAGCGTCTGTATGTGTCTGTATATCACTCTGGAGGAGAGGGTCCGAAACGGATTACACATTTTGTTTGGTTACTCTAGTTCAACAAAAAGTTTATGATTATGAATTGAAAAGAGAAACAGTCATCTCTTTACTCTCCTACACTCAAGCCCATGATAAGGCCTAAACTAATGAAGCAGAATTGGTCCTCTCTTGCTCTTCCTGTTGCTCCTCCTCCTCCTCCTCTTTTACATTGTTGTTTTCCTTTTCCTCCTTCTCCTCCTCCTCCTCCTCCTCCTCCATTTCCTCTGCCTTCTCTTCATCTCCTCTTCCTAAGAAGGGGTTATAACCCACCTGCAGGTAGCCCGCCATGCGTTCAATGATATTTGAAACCGTCAAATAAAGCTCTGTGAATGTTGGTCTCTCTTCTGGCATCATCTGCCAGCACTGCTTCATTATGCCATAGCTGAACAGATGAAAAAGAGGCATTTACCAAGGGAGTAAAATAGCTAGCCTACTGATACTCACATTTCCTCGTTACAGGCATCATTATAAGGCTGAGGCATCCGATAGCCCTCCTCTAGACTTTGAATAAGAGTGTGGGGATCAGTGCCAGGATATGGGGCTTTCCCTCCACTGAATACCTCCCACATTGTCACCCCATAGGACCACTGTTGAAATAAAGACAGACAGAAACCTCATAAGGTCTTTAATTGCCAGTAAACGCACATGGCGACAAAGGACGCTCCAGATAAGGGGACAACTCTCTAAATGGACACCCTAATTCTGCCCATACCGATCAGTATTTGGGACATCCCTCTAAATAAAGGACACTTTCGATGTTCCCAAGGTGTCCCGATTCCACTGTATACATACCACATCGCTCTTCTCAGAGAAGTGTCCGTCACTGAGGCTCTCTGGAGCCATCCACTTGACTGGCAGTTTCACTCTCTCCCCATGGCTCTTGCCCTGCCTGTAGTAGTTCCTCTCAAACACATCCTCCGTCAGACCGAAATCTGAGATCTTGATCAGGAAATGTGCATCGATCCTAACAGGGCCAGGGGTGCAGATATTCAATATAGAGTGATGACTTTGCTGCAGAGCTCACATGCAGTTCCTGGCAGCCAAGTCGCGGTGGATGTACTTATTGGCCGCCAGGTATTGCATCCCACTGGCTATCTGGGAACACATGACCATCAGCCGCTTGCGAACTTCCACTACCTACCGAGGCAAAGTATAGCACTACGTAAAGTAACCAAGTGAGAAGTTACCTCATCTTCATCAGATTCATGTAAAACGAGGTTCTTTCTCTCTCTCCTGAGATAGGTGAGGAGACTCCCATTGGCCATGTATGGCATAATTATGTAGCCAGCTTCCAGACAGACTCCAGTGAGGCTCATGACATGTGCATGGCTGAACCGACTCATTTTCAGACTCTCCTCCAGAAACTTGTCCACCTCGACCTGGTCGACATCACCTGCCGGGACAAACAGTGGAGGACATAAGTGTATATATAGCTGCTGTGCAGGAATTACCTTTAAATGTCTTTACAGCTACTTCTGCCTTGGATAGCTGCAGCCTTGCCTTGTATACTATCCCAAATTCCCCTGTATTAAAAAGAGTGACACAATGTGTTCTGGTAAGTAGCGGACAGAACTACGTACCTTCCCCAATACACTCCAGTATAGTAATATCTCCACTCTTGATCAGTAACTTCCCCCTGGCCAACTCTCTCAAACCATATGAGGGAACCCTGGTCCAAGATATGTGTGAGAAGGTTGTCGACTCACTAGCTGGCCATGGCTCGCCTACAATGGAGTTACTGTTACTCTTCTTTGTGTACAGGAGAGTCCCGCTTACAGTAAGGGTTGTTGGCTCCAGCCTCATCAGGTGCTTCTTTTTCATCTGGTTCATTTTCCACCATGGATTGTGTTCTGTGAGTTGACTCCAAGTTGGGGACATTTAAACCAGCTCTGCACAAGAGGAGTTAGTTAGCATTATAAGCGGACTTATTTAAACAACTACCCCCTTTTTATTGCATAGGTGTGCCCAAAAATCTGGTACATGGACTTTCATTTCGAGTGAGCAGTTTGTGTCAGTAATGAAACTAGTTTTGGTTGCCAGTTGTTTTGAGACTCACACAGCCATTATGTCGAGCTGCATCCTCTCCAACTGCTTCCTCCTGTGTCTCTTGGAGGACATTACCACCAGTAGTGGAACTATAACTGCTACAAATGCTACTAGTAAGGTGAACACTGCAACTCCTATTACAGCCCATGTTAGTAGTGAGCCTCTCTTAGGGGAGCTAGCACCAACTGCAGCTGTGGAAGTTCAGTGACATGACTGATCAGAACTCAGAGTTACCTCAAGTGTCTGTAACCAAGCTATCTGTAATTAGGTATACTGACAACTATTTACAGCATTGCTACACCAGAATAGGTCCATCTTAGAGATTCATGCTCCCCGAATATTTTCGGAGTAGGTTGGTGGGAATGCAGCAATATGCAGTGTTGTTTTTGCCTTTGCAATACCCGACACAAGTGTAACTGTATAGATTTTGCACAGCACTTTATGCTTTGTGATATGAAATCAGCCCGAAATTATTGTTCTAGGGTCTGTGCTCATGATGATGATAACCTTTAGTGCATTCTAAGACAAATTAAGATTAAGGTAACTTCGGATTTGACAACGCATCTGCCATGCCTATATAGCTGCAACACAACAATTGAGTATAGTATACACCACTGTTGTCTGTATACAGCCACCAAGCTAGAATGCAGAGGGATGTGTGAACCTGTGCATATTTTATCGGCGAGTTATGCCGAGTATGTTTCCCCTTGTTCAGGACACCACCATTTGACTTGTTGTTTTATCTAAGTTCATACAAACTTTAGGTAGGAAAGAGACTGACAGTTGTGTCACACTGCACAGCGAACATTTAGGGTCATAATAATATACTTACTAGAGAATTTCCTGCATGAAACTGCTATTTTGGTACATTCTCCTGCTGTTGATAGTACATTATGACTGCACTCATTCACGTATCTGTCAGACCCTGTACATGTGATTGGATCCAGAAATGCCAGTGCATTCTCAGCAGCATCAGGAGGTGCATCAATAAGTACACCATCTGAAGTGATCACTTTCTATATAGAGCATCATAACACACATACCCTACCTCCGGCGTCAAAACCTAGGTGCCTGCAAACAACCCTAGTGTCGTTAGCGATCCCACCCATCACTACAGACACCTCCCCATACTCTGTCACAGCAGAACTCAACATAGCCATTGTAAGGACTCGCCCCACCTTGTAGCCTTACATCACCGTTCTCACATCCTCTCTTCTCATCTGTGAATCAGATGCATAGCGCTTACTAACGGATTCCTGCACACATCAACATGTGTATACTTACCAAAGCACTGATAATAATGTCAGGATGGCAAGTACCACATTATGGTATCCGCATGTGAGTGATGTACTCCGATGCTGAATGCGAAACATCTCAATAGTTCGACTTCCGGTCCTACACATTGTACTCTCCTATTACTGCATTCCTCTCACTGGTCCCATACTTATCTGGGCTATGGTCAATAACATATGCACCTGTGGATAATGATGGGTATAATGGGCGAGTGGTTGTCATGCCAATGATCTCTCACCATCTTGAGCGAACCCTAGTGCCCGACACACCACTCTGGCTAGCTGCGCATTGTCACGACTCCAGTCCCCCAAGGCATTGCACACTCTACCCCACACCCCATGAGCACAGAACTCCAGTCTCCAGGGGTGTGGAGTTTGCTACTCCACCCACCAGACGAACTGTACCGTGTCACACTCCTCAACTGGTTCATGAGAGATCATGTGCTTGCACGTAGACGTTTAGTTGATTACAAAGCAGTTCTCCACTACAGTAGAGATGTCAGAGTCAGCCGCAGTTCCCATACAAAAAAGCAGTTTGTGTCGGCAGCACACTTGAACTCTGATTGTAGCAACTGCTACTGCGGCATTTGCTTGCAGGTAGTTAACTTTAGTAAGACATGGAAGCTGCAAAACACACAACTCATGGAACTACTCCAACTGAATGCAGGCAAGCATACCTGTCAGTCAACTCCAGCCACATGCTACAATGACGACATCCGAGTCCTTCTCCTTCTTGAACATTCACTGATGGCACTCTGTGTGCTATCACCGTGCATCTCAGTGGCCAGACGAGGACTGGACCCCTGCGACAAAATTGACTCGCACGGATGCGCTGCACACACGTATAGATAACACATATCATGTGCTGCTTGGTGTAGCTACATAGTCAGGATTGTTAGAAGCTGCATATTCACAACGGCACTCTGGTCTCTTCTCCAGTGCCTTTCCCAGTCATCAGCACACACAGGTACCATGCTCCACTAGGACAATACCGACTCCCCTTGGACCCATCATCACTTCCCACCAGGTTGTACGGTCCCTCCATACATCCTGACCCATCTATAGCTGGAGGACTCTCTCTCTCCGCGTGTTCACTTTACACTAGACATACTGGTGCATATTACTCCGGCTTTTCCATGATTACAGTACATCTGTTTCCTCTCCTCCACACTCACATTAGACATGACCTCCATTCCGTGCAATGGATGTCATGCAGTTGTTATGAGGGCTGTGCGCTGTAGCTACACAGTACCATGGTTCACACACACGTGGATAGGCATGCTGGTATAAAGGGCAGATTAAACAGTCGGTAGAACACACAGACTATATACCACATTGCACTACACGTCTTCATATCCAATGTTGACAAAACTAGTCTGGCCTCGGACATCCCTCTGTCATCACACACTGGTCGATCCACCCTCCATGCGCAGACAAATTTCAACTCGTCCACTCATGTGGTGTTTGGCCACTGACCAATGAACATCACTTTCGTTACATTCTTTTAACTGTAGATATCATGACAAGGGATGGGATAACTATAATGACACTATTCAGACACAAATTGAAGAAACTTACGCTACATGTAACACCAGGTTCTTCGCCAAGGTCGCAATTCTGTCCACTTACTTTCATGTCTCACAGTCACTTCAGTTGGTTGCTTCATTTCCATTGCAATCAACATCATCAGGTGAGAGTATGTTTGGCCCATTTGAGGCAAGACGGAAGAGCTCTTTGGTAGACGACACCTTGAAGAGTGATAGAATGCATGACATAGAAGTTATCGGCCAGGCAACACACGCACATCCAATCATATCCCAATTGTCGACAGACCACTTTAGCATCTCACATGTCCCACTGATACAAACACACAGAGCCCCACCCCCGTCAAGACCTATCACAATTCGTCCGTCTGCGGTGTTTGTCCCTCAACCAATCGAACGTCAGTCTCATTACACTCCCTGACTGGAGACATTACGTTTGGTAAGTGTAGGTAGGTAAACTTCAACTACAAATCTGGAGTGGTAGATAGACACTTACAGTGGACAAAATGGACTGCCGGATTTTCAAGGACGCATCGGTGCACGCTCTACATCGCGATGTTCCACATGACTTAATTTGCTTTCATTTCCTTTACATTCAACGCCCTGATCCGATAGACCACACACACACGGAATCTTCATATTCCTTGGAAAAGACACTGTGTGCGGCAGAAGACAAAGTCCCAAACATAGAAATGCAGACAGTTGATAAAACTCACGTCCACCATATCCCAATTGTCGACAAACCACTCTGGCCTCCCTGACGTCCCACTCATCGTTACATACAGAATCCCAAAACCCATTGTAACATGTCTGCACTCGACCCTCGGTAGCTGTTCACCTGTGTACAGCGAACAATCAGTCTCGTTGCACTCTGAAACTACAGGTTTTTTTGGTTTTATCAGTATAAGACAAAGTGCAATAGTCTGAGTATGTAGTTTAACTAACCATTACGACATTTTACTCCAGCAACATCATGTGAGTTAAGACAAAAATCAAAATGAGAACAGTGCTGGAGTTGAGTCTCATCCCAGGTGCAGCTGAAAAAATAACTATCAGTATTTGATTCTGTGCTATAAGCATCGAGAGGGTAACCATCTGCGTGATAGAAATAGCAGCCTGACCATGAATTAACTGCCATACAGTCCACTCATACATCACTCACGCATAAATCCAAGCTCCCTACATGTGACAAGGGTCTCCGCTATGTCCCAACCACGACTACACGCTGTGTTCCACTGTCCATTCATACAAATGTGCACTATGCCTTCGTTCTCAGTCGTCCCGTTAACCAATCTCACAGATCCTTCAGAGCATTGCTGCACACTTGCTGCGAAACCGGAGCTGTATCTCTTTAGACCTTAAAGAAATTAGCTATTGCTTACCTACAACAGCAGACCACAGAAGCAGCAGAAACGCTGCATCTCTACGAAATCCCCACATTGTACCACGTGAAGGGCTTTAGAAAAAAATAAGCCCCTTTTGTTAGATCATCAGCAACGCTGGGTTGGCCAAGGACTAAATCTCCGATTGTGTGTAGACTATAAATCGTGGACACGATTCCCTCTGCGCCCATGCGCAGCGAGAAAGCCAAATTGCACCGGGCCGGTACCCCGCTCGCTATGTATACCTTGGAGGCACAAGAAGTCACAACGAAGTAACTGTATCGACTCCCGCATGCTATCTACTAGCGTAGCTAGCCCGCGTCACTCTGCAAGAGCTAGCGTGGAGACCACTTGCAGGGGTGCCGATTTGGCGCTGTGGCGCCGAAAATGGCGTCATCATAAAAATCACAGCGTCGATGGCGTCAGCGCTTATCGCTTTTCCAGTTCCTGGCCTGCTGAGGTTCCTGCTCTGGCAACGCCGTATCGACTTCGACTACCGCGCTACTGCCACCGCCAAGCTAGTATCTGACACCAATACATTGTCCCCGTCATTTCTAAGTTTCAGCAATCCTGACTTGTATACTGGCCCGGCCAACCCATCAATTAGCAGTACCGCTCATGCTCAGTGCGCCATTTGTTGAAAGCCGCACGTACTTGGCGGCCCAGTCCAATGAAACGCTAGTGGGCGTCTGACTGAAGCACGAAGTGTGTTTAATCTCGCCCGGACGCATGCGCACGCGAAATAATTTTCCCGCCCTTGCTCGTGTTTCAACTGTCGTCCAACTGTGCATACGTGCTTGTAAAATAGCGTTTGCACATTATCTCATGCAGCTCTCGCTCCCGCTCACCAAATATATACTCTCCATTCACACGCACTAGTATTACCTCTTCATTACAGAAAAGGTTTTTTGATAGAACAGCCTGCATGCATCCCACACTATAAAAATGGGTTGTAGATATGATTGCTTAATGTTCACCAGACCAGGTTTAAGAAACATAATGTCTCCAAATTCACTTTTGTAATGACTACAGACTGAAGTAAACTACAATTCGTCTCTGGCCACCATTGTTCTAAACTTTTTAATTTGCCTCTGAAGAGCCTTCTTTTTGATATCCTCCTTCAGTTGACCACCTGTCTTAATCTGTGATGTCACCAACAAAACACAATAGAGCACTGAAATTAATTCAGAATATGGAAAAAAATATTTTTAACCTTTCTATATCTCTCCCATATCACGGTCATTTCCTCTGCTGGTGCTATATACAGTGAGATATATAATTGAGACTGTAGCCTGTAATAATAATGTCATAACAACAGTAGCTAGTCATAGTAACTCTGGCAAGACTCAAAAGTACGATTAGAGAAGTGGTGAAGCAAAATTGGAAGAGTGGCTTTTGCACGCAAGAAATTCCTTGGCTCACCAGTATCACTAATGTAGCCTTTGTCTCCATAGAAATGAGTAGGGTGCACCAGAGTAGGGTGAGCTGAGTAGCTGTTCAGATTTCTCAGCGGATAGTGCAACTCCCACCTCTTTCCCTGCCTGAATAACACACACAGTTCAATCCTACAAGCCCTCTCCTAAACCTTAATAGTTAAACGTATGCAAAGGCAATACCAATGACCTTGGTGCTATCTTAGTTAACAACCATGACCAGTTGGGAAGGACTCACTTTGTAGCTGGAGTTCCCCGCATAAGACTGATAAACTCGTCAGTTGGTATTAGTTTGTGTAAAGGCTCTGCAGCTAATAGTTTCTTAGCACCTCTTCTACTCAAGAGGTAGCATAACATTAGATAGGAGTGGCCAGGCTTTACAAGCCACTTTGTCCCGGGAACCAAAGGTTCGGTTGCAGCTCTGTTAACTTTGTGACGTCCAATGTAACTGTGGAAGGTTGAAAGAAGGTATATAGTAAGTCACATTGATGCATGTAAAAGGTGGTAGCATAATAAGCTGTGGGTGAAGTGGTCGCCGTCAGTTTGTGAGGAACAGTAATGCCATAGGTTTGAGAGCTCACATGTGGTCCCAGTCAGGAACATATCTATTGGCCTCCAGGATGACTTCTGGCAATCCCGTGTTGAAGAATGTTTTGAACTTCACATCATCTTCCATCACCAGAATAGTCTCCTGCTTCTCTTCAAGCATCTGGAGTCAATAAACGTGACACATTTGCACTGTATAGCTATGCCTCTGCTCTTACCTTCTTCCAGATAGTGTAGTGGTTGAGGAATTTCTTACGTTAGGTCGCTGTCTCTTGGCATACTTTGAGTAGATCAATGGCGGATGGGTAGCTGTTGGGGCAAAGTAAGCAGTCGCCTATCATCATCAGTGGTGATTACAACCAACCAAGGGTGTTGATCTTGAACTGGAAAAAGTCGTCTGAGGCCTCATTGATGTTTGTATACTTCTTGTTTGGCATTATGAACTCAGTGTTGAGAATGTACATTCCAACACCTAGAGAGATAATCGTGGGAACCATAAAGAGCATATCCACTAGACTGTTATTCATTATTCCAGACCTTCGTTCTGGGCAGAGAAGGCAAACTGTTTCACATCATCCACACGTCCTATGAACCTGGGGTGCGGGGGGTGGTAGACAAGGTTCTCAGCGTATGGAGAGGCCAGGTGGACCAGGACAGCTCCATACACCAGAGGACACTGATACAATGATACCCTACGTATTTATACAACACCATGCAGCAAAAAATCATGACCCTTGGAAAAATTTTGCCAACGTGTGCTTTATACTTACAAATGTTATTCTTACACTCAGGGATGGGAAGACGCTTGTCATGAGAGAAATGCTAGAGACTACTATTGGGAGCATTTCCTCTCACACAACACTCTTGAGGTACATATATATGGACACAGAATGATTACGTAAGAGCAGTGGCTGATGCAGTATTCATCTACCAATTGGAGCCTCACCCAAGCTGAATTTTGTGCTCATAAGGGTACATACTTCCTGTACAACCTGCATGTAAAATACAGCTCCCGCTTGATTTACATATTACAGAGAGAAGGAAGGAGGGGGCTTCACATGTTTTCTATAGAGATTACATATGAACAGAGTATCCATTTTTATCACGTGCACATGAATTAAAAGAGTTCACATATAATTGCCGTTCTGTGAACTAGTTTATGCTCATTTTGCTACTGGCGAGTATAAGCTGCAGGCGGTAGCTGATCTTGCCACCACTGCTATACTGTGCATACAGTCTCTCTGTGTCACTGCAGCTGCTGAAGAACATGAAGAAACAATTCTGTGGCCTGTTGTACGACACTGGGTTTGTCCATTCCCCGGACCCGGACCACGAGGAGGCCAACCACAACTCTGCCAACACCAAACTGATCAAGGCTGTTCTGTGCGCCGGTCTCTACCCCAACGTGGCCAAGATCGTCCAGACACGTCCCGACAGGTGCTCATCTCTTAGTATACTTGTATACACCCATAGATATTATAATTCACGGAACCGGTATATACCTCGATCAGCTGAATGATTGCCTGAGATACATACTGTAAATATGAAACGGTATATATAACTCCTGAAGGTTTTATGTGTAGTTGTGAAATGTGCTTAATGTACTTGTCAATGCATGCCTTTGTGTGCACCATCTTGCCACAACAATTATAAGGTACTAGTGGAAATGCTTGGCATTCTTTGGGCGAGCGGAGCGAGCCTTATGTGTACTGTAGCGCAAGTATATACAACCATCATCAGTCATTACTAACGATAATATAGCTAGCTACGTACCTACAGGTAAAGTGTTTCAGCAAGTAATATAAGCTATTATGTGTTGTCATATTATGTTGCAGTGAAACTACCAGAAGAAAGTAGCAACGGAACGGTGATATGTAGCCCGACGTTGCCTTGCCCGCTCCCGTTCTCCGTCTCTTAATCGTCGCTGAAAAAGACAAGCCTCTCTGCCGTGAGGACTTTCGACGGCCGGGCGTTCTGTCTATCTACCTCTTGGAACAGAAGCAGTGTCGTTGCCTTGCCCGCTCTCGATCTCGTATATAATCGTCACTGAAAAAGACGAGCCTCTCGGTCGTGAGGACTTTCGACGGCCGGGCGTTCTGTCTGTCTACCTCTTGGAACAGAAGCAGCATCGTTGCTGGACGTGAACAGAACCCCCGGCCCAAAATTAGTTGAAGCGCGTAATATCGGCGCATGCGCATAACTACGATGGATGGTGCGTCGTATATATATAAATATTTATATAATATATAGAAAATTCCACCCGAAGAAACCACAAGGGGGGCTCGCTCTGCTCGCCCAATTATACACTGAATTGACTGAATCGAAATTACTTAGGCTACTTTAAATTGGGAGTAAGGCACCAGCTCATTTGAAATAATGAGAGTATAGTGTGTGACTGTGATTGTGTGTATTTCCAGACCACCTAAACTGTTCGATCAGGACACAAAGGTCAAGTTCCACCCAAAGTCAGTCAACTCGGACGAGACTACTTTCAACAACAAGTTTGTCATCTACCACACCAAGGTCAAGAGCACGGCGGTGTTCCTTCATGACACGAGTATGATCCCTCCCTTCCCCCTCCTCTTCTTCGGAGGAAACATCTCTGTCGAGAGAGACGGAGACCAACAGATCATTGCTGTCGACAAGTGGATCAAGTTCCAGGCTCCCCACCGTATTGCCATGCTAGTCAAGGTCTTGCATAGCTATAAGACTCCTAGATGTGACTAGGAAGATTGCAACTCACTTTTGGCGAGCTAGCATGAGACTCGCGTGCATGAAGCATTCCATGATTGTGAAAGTTGATTTCCGTTATTATGCAAGAGAGCACCAATTCTGTGGAAGCACTGGATAGGAAAACCCCACATACAGACTACTAGGTAGACTACTAGGTAGACTTACTTCACTCGCCAATTTTGCAATAGTCCCCATAAACTGACGTAGCAGTGTATGTTTGCCCGTGTGGCAAACACAAAGCTGTTGGGAAACAAAGCCAAAGGGGGAAACATCCAATTTCAAGTTTCTCGTCTCAGACCTTACAACTGACTAATGTGTGCACTGTACATTCATCAATGCTGTTGTCGTTCAGGAGATGCGTCAGCAGTTGGATGTGGTGTTGAGGCAGAAAGTGAGCAGTCCCCGCATGGATCTGTACACCCCTCTGTCCCCCAGTCCCTCTGCCTCCTCACAACTCATCCAGAGCATCATCGATCTAATTGCCTCTGAAGATTACCAGTGGCAGGTCAGACCCTTTCATCCTCAGGGTTAATTAAGGACTCATGTGATAGTGCTGGGATCATCGATATCATACTAATGTTTTTGCAGGCTCAAAGGCTAGCTGCTGGTAAACACTTATATATTCGCAGAGGGAAGTGATGAACTAATGTAAGACTATCAATATTTTCAACATCATTATTCTGACACAGCCATGTGTACTGTAAACATTTTAATCATGTTGCAAACCTTATGATGTGTGTAACACATGCAGTGCAGTGGGTGTTTTACGGATCATTCCCAAGGGACGAAGTTAGCTGCTGAAACCATGACAATGTTCATCTAGGAGTTCGAGTTGTTAAGCAAAGCACCTTAATAATATTAGCTGTAGAGTTGTTTTGGGAGGGCCCCCGGGTAATCCCCGTAGTAAACTTATGAGGCATGACAACCGCTGATATCACAAATTTCAATATACGCTGTCACTTAAAAATGTGCTGATTCTTGCAGCATCATAAAATGTGCATACGTGTGTGGTAATTGTATAGAAATTCATGTGTTGTGCTCATGCTGCACGTACTCTAAAGATAACCGGGAGTATAGTGCTACATGGACACTGTCAGTATCTCCACGTCATCTGTGGTGCCAGGGTCCAACCCTCCCACTACCATTATGATATCATCACGTGGTGTCGTTACAATACTGTCTTTTCTTGAGTAGGACATGTGCCCAATGCACGTCCATTTCCCCTGGTCGTAGAGATGGACGGCATTGGTTGTGTTCGGTCTAGTGTGGCCCCCCACCACCACCAGTTTGTCGCCCACACTGACCGGTGTTGACCAGTATGAGGGGACAGGGGGAATAGCCGTCCAGAGGGATTGGGTGGCCGCGTCAGAAGAACGTGAAGATAGAGAGTAAACAAGGAGAGATTGTAGAGAGCAGGTGTAAGCAGAGTCTGTCCAGTCTAACAGGTGCAGTTGGTCACCGCACAGGGCGGCACATATGCCTGGGAGACGGATGGGCATGGGGGCTAGACTGGTCCACTGCCGAGTGGTGCAGTTGTAATGTTCAACTGCAGTGCTCCACCAATCCCCTCCATCGTCCACCCCTCCCGCTGCTACCACACACACTCCGTCAGAAGAGCTGACAACTGCAGGTCTTGAACGTGGTGTGTTCATTGGCGGTAACTTCTTGAACCACTGGGTCCCTCTGAGGCTAACTAGTGCATTAGTATGTGGCCCTTTTTCTGTAGCCTCGGGTGGCCTGTCTTCCCCTCCAATAGCAGTCAATAGTCCACTGATTACAACCATGCCAAAGTTGGCCTGTGGGCACAGAGGGAGTTTTGTCCACTTGTTGCTCTCCAGTTCATACTTGAACACCCAGTGGGAATTGTAGGGTGTGAAGTAGGCTACACCGTCATGAGAGCTACAGGCCGCTCCCCTGTCAATGTGTTGAGGTGCATTTGTCCTGGTGGTGGATGTCACTCGGAACTGCAAGAAACACATTACTTTATGGTATTATTTGCACACAGAATCCCAAAGGGAACATGTATCTCTACTAACACTGCTGGTAAGATGGAACTGAAAGTGTCATGAGACTGTTACCTGTCTCTCTTGCAGTCCTAGTTGTAGTAGGAGGTGGATATTACTCTCACTGTCATCATGTGACATCTGAGGGTAATGGCATGACAGTGGGTTTTCCAACAGGAGTTGTAGTAGTTACATCATGCATTAACTATTATATACATGTACAATAGCAACCTAGCTAGATACTCTCCTTTTAAAAGTGAGGTTAATGAACCAAGTTATGACTGTAAAAGCCTCGTGAAGTGTAATGTCTGTGTTTGACACTAACCACATGTTCCAGTGTCTTGACCAGAACCTCTGCAGTTGGCCTCTTTTGAGGCAAATTACGGAGGCACCCTGTCATTAGCAAGTTGAGGGTGTGGTTGTTTCTGGCACTTGATGACGTGTTTCCTTCGTCTGTCAAGCTCAGAGCGACCTTGAATACCGCCGCTCTCATCCACGTACGTAGCTCCCAATAACGTAGGGATCTCCCCAGTGATTGTAAACAGCATCAGATGACCGAATGAGAACACATCAAAACGGCCGTCAAACGAGCCTTCTACTTGCAGTGCCTCTGGGGGCATGTAGGGCTCTGTGCCAGACTGACTTGTGAATGGGGTGCATCCATACGTGAGGTTCAGTGCACGGGCATTCCCAAAGTCTGACAGCTTTGCCACAGTGAGGGTGGAGTCAAGAAGGACATTGGTAGCCGTTAGGTCCCTATGGAGTATAACAGGCCTGCAGTTGTGGAGGTACCTAAGTCCATTTGCTACATCACAGAGAAGCTTTGTTTTTTGGACAAGAGATAAAGCAGGGATTCCAGGGAACACTTTTTGGTCGAGAATATAATCTTGAAAGGTTGTCTTCATGCACTCCATGAGGACAGTTGGAGAGTTGTCATCATCAAAGGTAATGCCAACCGTCCGCACGATGTTTGGATGGTTTATTTTGCACAGGATGAAAAGGTGACCACAAAGCCTTTTGAGGAACTGTTGCCTTGGGCGGGGAATATCGTGGTACTTTTTACCAGCATAAACCTCTTCACTATGTTTTGACTTCATTTCAAGCACAGTCCCAAATGAACCTTTGCCAAATATAGTTCCAGTCCATTCGCAGTCGATTACTCTTAGGTCCATATCACTACCTGTGCAAAGCACAGTGTATAATTGTAATCCTCAGAAGAGTATAATTATAGCTACTATATAAGACTCACAGATGCGTTCTATGGCCATGTCTGTTCGTGCCACGGATACACCATCTGCAGAAACAAATCAAGGCTGTACAATAATGGATGTCAACTAGCTTAGTAATAATTATGTACCATCCTTCGTGGGGGTTTAGGGTTAGGTGCAAGTGTCTGGCGTTGTCAGCAAGATGTGTTCTCGCCACATGTATCACTGACAAGGTGCCTCATAGCAAGGCATCAGAAATAGTAGCATTCGGTGACTTGGTGTCTCAACCAGACTTTATCAATTTCTTGAGGTGCCGACACCACACAGTCAGTGTTTGAAGCGTGCTGGGCATCCAGTCACATCAGCAAGAGTGGAGCGGATAGTAAGTATAGTCCCGGTATAACGATATGTCGGTGTGTCCACACCAATAGAATCTAGCGACGGAGAAAACACGACGCAGTGACAGGAAGCGACGCTAGCACATCGGAGATTTATCCCCGTGGTAAAAATGTGGCGATTCGTATAGAGCGGCTGTTTCATTCTGCGGCTTGCCCCGCTGTGTAGGGATACCAACTATAAATAGGTTATACTACGGGTTTGCAGAGTACAACTGCGCGCAAGCTCTGACAACTTTCAGTGGGCAGCAGTGGAACAGTGTCCGTTGTTACCATTAACAGCTATTTCTGTGGGATAAGTAGGCAAGGCTGATGAAGCTATCCTGCAAGGCCAGTAGGGTCCTTAAAGGAATTACCACAGCAGTATTACCCTTAGGTCATTCCTCTTATGTCCCGGCAGGTGATGTTGACAGGCGAGTGGACAAGTTTCTGGAGGAGAGGAGAGTCTGTGAAAATGAGTCGGTTCAGCCAATGACACATGTCATGAGCCTCACTGGAATCTGTCTGGGAAGCTGGTTTACATAATTATGCCATACATGGAGGGCTGTCAAGGCATTGTTGATAGACACGTAAATTTTTTGATAACCACCGCATTGATGTACGACCTGAGTATAGATGCTTGCTTTGTTTTATTGGCTTCCAAAGCTTCATAAACGGCTTATGGTACTAGGTTCATAGCTGCATCACACAGGTGCACTACAAAACCTTTATCTAAACTACTTACTAGCTGCCTTAAACTAATTCCACCCATTATAAACAATATTGTAACGGCATTTTTTGTAGGACTGGAGTAAATTGTTTTTTGGATCATTGATAACTCCCAGCAGGTGCTTTCAACTTTTAAGCAAAATAAATTATTTTTCTACGGCCAGGCATTTTGATAGCTACGACTTTTCTACATTGTACACAAGCATTCCACATGTAGCACTCAAAGAGGCTTTAGAGACTCTAGTTCAGGAAGCATACATGGTGAGAGACAGTGAGTTCATTATAGCAGATGGTACTGGAAATGCGTACTGGTCTGATGTACCATCGAACTCCTCATCGAAACATAATATTACTGAAGAGATGCTAGTCACATATGTGGAATACCTGATAGATAATATTTATGTTAGTATAGGTAATAGAATATATAGACAGTGTATAGGGATTCCAATGGGAACGGATTGTGCGCCGTTGGTGGCAAATTTGTTTCTGTTTTACTATGAATATAGATATATGAAGAATATGATAAAAACTAATTTGATTCTGGCAAAAAGATTTAGTAACACAATGAGGTATATTGATGATTTGCTGACATTGAATAACACATCGTTTAATTCGGCCATTGATGACATATACCCAGAGGAGCTTAAACTAAAAAGAACATCTGAATCACCAACAACACTGTCATACTTAGATATACATATAACTATAACAAATGGAAATATTCCACGGCAGTATATGATAAACGGGATGATTTTAACTTCAAAATTGTAAATTTTCCATATCTAAGTTCCAATATTCCATCTGGACCAGCATACGGAGTTTATATTTCCCAATTAGTACGTATAGGTAGAATATGTAGTGATTACTCGGATTTTACGTTGAGACATTTCAAACTAACGGAGCGACTGATTCATCAAGGATACAGATACTCTGATTTGTGCAGGTCCTTTTATAAGTTTGCTAAAAAAGCACGCACAAATTATGATTAAATATAGCTACGGCATACGCAAACATGTGGAGGATGGTATATGTCTGCCAGCAATGGATAGATTCCTCAGTCGCCATGTGTCGCATAGATAGAATGTATATTTATAGTCACATATTAATCTATTTTTAACATTTCTATTTCTACCATTTCTACTATTATTTATATTATTTATATTTTTCTTACACGTGTATATGCTGTGCGTTATTTAGAATAATCGCACGTTTTTTATGTCTCCGTCGTGTCGTCGTGCTGCGTGAGTTTCAGAGTTTTTATATTTTTCTATGAGTTTATTGGTCCTTTGAGGCTTTCTATTTTTCTACCGGCTGTTGTTTTTATCCTGTAGCTGTCGTTTTTTGTACATGATTTCTATCTATTTATTTTATAACTATGTGTAAGGGAGGTTGGGACACTGGGTGTGTAGGGAGAGTTGGGCCCATAAAAGACTCTTTAACCTACCGCCCCGGTTCTCAAGGCTGGGCACCCAGGGTCCTGCCTCTTTCTTTCTGTTTATATGTTATTGTCTGTGTTTTTGTACGCTTGGGTATGTTATTGTCTGTGTTTTGTGTGCTTGGGTGGG